GTCAATTTTGGAGGTGACCTTGGGATGCAAGGGAGTGCAGGGGAGTGAGTGCACAGCCGTGGATGGATGCAGGGCGTTTGTGTCCCCAGCTCAAGAGGCAGGGGTAAGCCTGCAGGACCCACTGAGATGGAGGAAGAAACAATTCGGAGGTTACAATGGGCAAAAATCCTCTCCTGGGATGCTCTGGAGAGGGTTGGGGGTGTTGCTGCTGGTGGCTGAGATGGAGAGAGGGCGTTATGCAGTGACTGGGCAGGAGCCGCAATGAGCAGTAACAGGCACCAGAAGCCTCATCTCATACCTACAGCCGTCACCCACATCCCTGCCGCAAGTGTTTGTGTGCAGGAGGTCGTCCTCAAATACAACAACGGGTCAGCTCAGCTCTCGGGACACAGGAGCCAAATGCCCCCCTGCAGGAGTCCGGTCCCCTGGCTGGCACAAGACTGAGACCCTGCTTTCAGCAGGTTTTCTTGCATGAAGTTATTAAACACTGGGGACGTGAGGCTTGCAGGGGCTCTGGGCAATGATGCTGGCGACTGTGCCCAGCTAGGCAGCAGGTCAGGCGACACACAGGGTGATGCCAGCCTTTTTCTGGGAATGGAAATGATGCCTGGCCTCAAGCAGGAGCTCAGCACCAGGATTTCCCGGGCAGAGATGCTGCACAGAGGCAGCGTGTGGAAATGAGCTCTGCCAGGTGAAAGCTGGGCACCCACGGGCACCAGCGGACACAGCGTTGCTCTGCTTTCCCTAGCAGCAGTAAGGGTGAGAGCCTGCCCCGCTCCGTCGCAAGCCAGGTGCAGGAAAAACCTGCAGGGCAGGCAAAAAATCAGCTGCACACATCCTCTGAACACCCAGCTTGGTTTTTTTCCCTCCAACACCCAACCTGCTTGTTTTTTCCCTAAACCTGCTTGTGTTTCCTGCAAGCGCAGCCCATGAGCAGAGTGGGCTAATTTGGCTTAGAGGTCCTGTGTTGGGGACAGAGCTCAGCCAAATACACTAGGGAGTTCTCTGAACGCCTACGTTTACCTTTGGGACGGATATGTGATCTTCTACCCTCTGTCTTAACATGCCTACACACTTGCTTTTGAAGAGATCCTGCTTATACTGTTCCCACAGCACAGGAAAAAAACTGAACTGAGGGTGGCTGGGGTTCAGGGAGAAGAATTTGGACCTGGAGCAGAGATGACACACTCCAGGCTGGGTTTGCTATCCCAGAGCAGAGCCCTTCCAAAGAATGACGGTCCCACTGGAGTCACAACATTCCTCCTTCATGGCAGGGTGCGGAGAAGTGAATTAAACTGTCTACAGTTATGCAAAAGCCAGTCAAAGAGCTGGAAAGAGTACTAAAATTATCCGAGTCCCAAATCTGTGACCTCCTGTTCAGGGACATACATGGAGTGGGTTTTTAAATACCCTGACACACCAAATCAGGTTGGACCTGGGGTTTGGAGTTACTTCTGTAAAGGCATATATATGTAAAGGCATATATAAAGGGGATATTTCTCCCTCTCTGGTAATCCGCATGTAGGCTGCCGCTGGCCCTGCCCCGCTCCCCGTGCCTGTTCCAGCCCCTGTGGGAGCTGGCCAAGCCGGGTCTGGCTGCCGCAGCTTTGCCTTGTGCTCTCTGCAGGTCACATAGGGGGATGTCCACCCCGATTAATCACGAAGTACCAGAGCCCAGCTCCGCAGCGTACAGGCAGCTCTGCACTTGCCCTACCCAGGATCAACCTGGCCGTGCTGCCTGCAGCCTGGCTGTTCTGGTAAATAAAGCTCTTTTCTGGGTGCAGGAAATGGTTCTCTGTCTCCACTGTGTCTCAAAAACATCAAATAACTCAGGGTTGTTCAAAAATCCCCACGTCAGAAGGCACACGCAGCTCTACCGCTCAGCCACTTGAGGCTCAAAACTGGAGAGGGATGATTTTCCAGACCCAGTTCAGCTTTTTGCCAGAATCGTGTGTACTGTGCAAACTGCAGCTTATTTTACTACATGTTTATTTACAGCTGGCAGCTCAAGGCTTTGGCATCAGCTACTCTGAGCCCAGCTGACACCCTGGTTACCCACCTGGTTACCCACCTAACCCCAAAGAGCCCTGAATTTTCCCTATGATGTCTGGAGTACAAATCATAGAATCATAGAATCGTCTAGATTGGAAAAGACCTTTGAAATCATCAAGTCCAACCGTTAACCTATCACTGCCAAGTCCATCACTAAACCATGTCCCTAAGCGCCACATCTACACCTCTTTTAAATACCTCCAGAGACGGCGACTCCACCACTTCCCTGGGCAGCCTGGTCCAGTGCCTGACTACGCTTTCAGTTAAGTTTTTCCTAATATCCAACCTAAACCTCCCCTGGCACAGCTTCAGGACGTTTACTCTCATTGT